GCCGCTTTCTTCTTCATACTCCTCCCTTTGTATCACCACCGCTATCTCCTCTTTTTCTTCACGAACTTCTGGCTTCATCATAAACTCTGTAGTTGATGGAATTTCCTCCTTCTCCTCCACAGCCACTGCGTTTGGTTTCATTGTGAAATCGGTGACCAGCTCAGCAGCTTCTTCCACTTCTTCCTCAGCAACCTCAATAACCTGTTCTGGCTTCTTCTTCTTCTTTGGTTTTACTTTCTTCTCGATAACAGTTTCAATTCCTTCTTTTTCAGTTGGTCTCACCGAAATGGCGCTTTCTTCTTCATACTCCTCCCTTTCTATCACCACCTCTATCTCCTCTTTTTCTTCACGAACCAGCGTTGCGTGTCCTTGGAATGTGAACTCAGTTTGTAGTTCAGCCGAAGCTTCTATGGGTTGAGTTGGTTTTCCTGAAGGCACTTTCATGGAAATGATTGCAGATTCAGGTTTCCTGGGAGAGCTGAAGGCTGCCACCTCTTCATTTGCTATCCGGGACGTCACTTGAGTGGTGATGGATGTCTCAGAAAGCAGAGTGCTTTTGTCTCCAAATCTCGAATTAATTTCGACTGGTATAAATAATGCTTTTGGTATGTTTTTCTTCTTTTTCTTTTCTGCTTCTGGTGAAATTAAACTGGGAGTTTCCATCGTTGATTCTTCGGTGACAACTGTTCCTGTTTCGGGGAAAGCTGATTCATCAGTAAGAGTTTTACGATGAACTTTGCTGCTTGGCAGTTTTGCTTTTTTAGATTTTGTAATAGTCCATTCAGTTTCCTCCGAAGTTTTGCATAAAACTGAGCATTCTGCGAGTTCAGTCCCATAACTTTTGTTGAGAAGTTCCAGAGTGACTGTGATTTCAGACGACTTTGTCTTTTGTTTCTCTATTTTTTGTGGTTTCTCTTCTTCTTCTTCTTTACTGATTAGCAGTTCTGTGTGTTCACTGCGAAGTTCATTATAGTGAGAGAATGAAGCGTCCTCTGAACGTTCTTTTGCTTGAAGCTCAAAATCACCTTTCTCTTCTACGATTTGTGTTTCCACGAGTTTTTCCTAAAAAAATCCGCCGAATTTTACTCTTTTTCGTTAATTTAGTGCTACTCTTGAATTCATCTTTTTCTGTTAGCAAAATGCAAGAAGGTTTTTCGATTGTTTGTTTAATATAATCTCGTGCCGCGTGTCACATTCAGTCACTGGGGATACTTTCAAGGAGCTTTTAAAGGATAAAAAACCAAAGAAATAAGTTGTTCAAGTCTATCTCACCATACCTTTTGCTTATTTTCTGCAATTTCATGCTCTTGTTGCAACTCTTCTGAAACATAGTTGCAGTTTTAATAACAGTTACATTAAAATTCAAGTAATTTTTTGGAGAAAAAGAAAGTTCAGATTATGTTTACTCGTAATCTGACTAGGTCATACTGCTTGTACCAGAAATGGATTTTGTTTGAATTTCCCTTGTAAAGGTAAAGGTACTTGTTTTACCTGTACTTAGCTATCTCATATTACTGAAGAAGCCTTTTTTAAAAGACATGGGACAGCATGCAGTACATGTGGACAATTTGAACGAATGACACATTTAAAACACGGACCTGATGCTACATGGACATTTAAATTACAAAAACACCACGCTTCTCCAGCAATATTTATAGCCTGACATGCATATTCTGCTTCTTCTTGTGCGGTAACCCCTTCTATTATCAAGCATTCTGTTGAACCCTTACGGTCGCGATGTACATCGTACTGAAATCGATAATATTTTACTTGTATTGAAAGACAAGGTTAAGTGGAGACAAACCACTGAACAATAAATTTTGGAGATTCTTACTTTCATTCCAAGCGCATCATCTACAATTCGTTTGCCGTTTTTGTAAAAGAAGAGCTGTGGAGGTGGCAACCCAGTGGCGCATACTTTTAAGCCAACCGAGCTGCCAACAGAGACGTCTTGATCAGCCAAGACTTGTTTGAAACTTGGTGCCGTAAACTGTTTCTTTCCCTGTTGTAGATTGTTTTCTCTACTGAAAACCTGAAACGAAAGGAACGGACGACATGATGATGCATGCATTAATTTATACATACTAATTTAACTTAAAATCAATAGGGCATTCATAAAGCATCAAAAATAGTTCCAATCTACGATTTTTTTGACTGCAAAAACAATTTTCAGCAGCATTAATAACTGTTCTTGAATAGACGTTGCTTGCTCATTATCTTAGACGTCTAATTGTAGCTTTTTTAAAGTCTAAAAAATATGGCCAGTGAAACAGACATTCGCCTCTTATGTTTTTGTCTCTTTTTTTTAAATGAATTTTTCTTTGAGGTGTAAAGTAACATTACGCAAAAAAAATGCTTCGATAAAGAGAAAAATGTAAGCTAAAAATTTGTAAATTTTTGAAAGCTTGTTTATTACTCTTAATTCCTAAATAGGATTAAGGCCTTGAAGAGTGAGGAGTTTGACAGGTACTTTACTCCTGTTTCATCATCTTTTCTTCTCATTTGTAAACATTCTCTAATTTACTTTATAGGCTTCTTTTTGTTTTGGTCCCTCTTTATTTACTTACTTGAAAAAGGTCTTTTTATAACAGAAGAAAAATTATGAGTTGTCATTTGAGAAAGAGCCGGCTTGCAGTTTAAGCGAGGAATCAATAGCGAACCTTTTTCATACGGCGATATTTAGGCCTTTTTTCAGATTCTGGCTCATCATCCGTAGTTGCTTCCATGTTATCATCGCTAGCCTTCTTCCGTCGGCGCTTCACACTTCCAACGTATCCCGAATTTTCAAGGTCTGAAGCAGCTCACTAAAAACCTTGGAAAAAATGCTATTAAGGAAAAAATAATAAGCTGAAAAAAGTGCTGGCAATTTGTAGGATACTGTTCAGACCTTTATGGTTGCTCATTAATTAATTTTTATTCTGTTCTGGTCACAAAGAGAAAATAAAACGGTCTCAACCTGTTAAATCTAAAAAGAGTTCAAAAGAGCATCGATCAACCCCGTTGACATTTTCTACCAAAAGCGAGTAACAATCATCGTCTTCTACGTCGCAATTATGAACAGTCATCACAACGTTACCATCTTCATATTCCAAACTATACTTTTGTGAAGTCTCTTCGATAAAGATCTCTTTCCCATTTTTCAGCCAAATTAGTTCCGCTGGCGGGTAACCGGTAACCTTTGCAGTGAACCTGAATTTGCTTCATATGACAAAAATATAACTAAAAGGATTTATAATCTAGCAAGGAATATGTGGAATAATAACTTTGCATTCTATATGTTTTCAGTGAGTATTTGAAATTCTTCTCATCATTAGCTCTATTTCTGTGAGGTGTGATTAAACTTTGTTTTTATCTGTCATGGAATGCTTCTTGAGCTGTAATTTTCCTAAACGAGAAAGAAATAATAATGAAGACAGGGTTAATAGAGCCTTTGTAAAGTAAAAGTTTCTTCTTTAATACACTTGACATTTGTATTATTATTTAGAACCTTTGTTTACAGTGAAATTAGGCGCTTTTTTCAAACAAGAATGCTATTATAGACGGTTTTATCACAAAGCTTAAGAACGAAAAACCTTTACAAAATTTTATGCTTTTAGGCTTTCAAAACACTTTCAGAAGAAAAAATTAAAAATTCTTTATAGTTATTGCAAAAATTTTGAAATCATTGGATAATTTTTTTTAAAAACTACAAACTTTAGGAAAGTCTACGGTAATTTAAACTGATGATCTACTACCTTGCATCTGCACCAGATTTTACAGTACAATTCGACACAGGTTCAACTATGGTTGCAGGAGTTCTATGAAAGAACCCTGGGTCGTAAGCAGCAGCCAATTCATCTTCTGATGAGACCTCTGCAAGCAGTTTTAACACCTCAGTCTAAACACAAAAAGCAGCAGAATTACTTCTGCTCTACTAACTTAATTAGGTTATATATAATTTTGAACACTTAAACAATCTAAAGAATGGGGGAACAGAAAGCAAAGAAAAAATGATTAAAGAATGCTGAAGCATAAAAGAAAAGTTAGGGCTGTTTTTAGAACTGAAGCATACGTCTGGTGACAACGAAATCGACTGCAGCCGTTGCTTGGCCTTTTTCATTGGATGCAATAAACGTTATCTTCCCAGCATCGCTTATTGAAATGTTGTCGATAAGGATTACAAAACTATACAAGTACTTATCGTTTGTGACTGAGATTTGCATTCTATCATCAACCTCCATATGTTCGTCATTCATGTAAACGGATAACTAAAATAAAAAATTATTGTCAATTGCAGTATTACTACATAGGTGAGAAGTTGCAGCGCGAAGCAAAGCCATTGAAAAAATAGCTGAAAAAACAGAAGCGCTAAAACTTTGACTGCTGACCCTTCCAGACGACTGAAAAGCAAATTCATCTCTGCTTTTCTACCCTTTTTTATCTACGAAGAAATAAGACTAGTTAATTATTGATCGATTACCCGCGGTTCTGGATTCGCTATCAGCTTTAATTCTATACTAGCGAAGTTATTTTCAGTCGCAGTGATACTTCTTAAACTTTTGATGAATGTCGGTGCAATAAAGTTCTGTTTCGCTTTGCCATCACCAAAAATTTCTTTTCTTTGAGCCTTCTCTAAAATTGACAGTCATCTACTTCACTTGTAAGGTTTTTAGAAAATTTCTAGTTATGCGAATTTATGAGGAAAATATTAACCAAGTTTGATTCCAAATAGGGACGGAGCACTGGTACGATCGCTTTTGGAGCTCTTCTGCAAGCTTTTTGACGTTGATGCTTCCTGTAATTAAAGACGACGGAGTACTAAGGAAATGACGAATTTTGTCAATACTCACCATTTGAAAACCTTGTCATAATGAGATCATCATTTTTAGTAAATCCTTATAAAACATTTCCTCAAAGTAGTTCTTAACGATACTACAGAAATTTTTTAGACTGAGCTCTGAAGAATTTACCTTTGCATAATCTGCAAGATCAAATTTCAAATCCGATCTACTGCTAGTGCAGCTAGGTGCTCCCACTGTCAAAGTGCATCTCGTAGACGTTTTTGACTGCTTACGCCTTTCCTTTTCAAAGTGGTTAACTGCATGCTCAATTTCCCTTTCTTCAGCATTCAAAATAAATGTTCCAAATATATTGCTGTTATCGTTACTTTGTGAACCTTCATCCAAGCATCTGCCCTCATAAGACGCGCTGCCAGCTGATTCTGGTGGTGCTGTGCTTTCATATTTATCCTCAGATGGTAGAAGAACCATCGAAAGATTCATTTCACAAACAGATGTCTTTTCTGAAACTACTTTATCAACTTTTTCTTTTGTAGAACTATATCCCTCCAAACTTTTTGACTGAGCAGAAATGGACGGTATTGAAGCTTTCTTCAAGTCATTTCTGTTACCACTATCTTCAAAAATGTTACAGTTGGTTAGTAAAACACCTAATTTCTTTTTAGCAGCATTATTTTCACTCGTTTTTGACTCTGTGAGTGATCTGCTGTCAGCTCTGAGAGAGTTAACGGAGAGGGAAGAAGCACTATCTAACTTAATATCTGTCTGCAAAAAAAATGAGTTTTTGTCTTTTGCTTCACCCACGACGAGTTCCGGTGTCCTATTGTTTGAAAGTGGCACCGCTTCGTGGGCCTCATCCCCAGAAATTTGAGATTTGCTGAAAAGTACTCCAGTTCTTTTGAGCCAGACTTCACGTTTTTCCTCTCCTGAAACTGCACTGTCATCTAAACTTTTATCGACAGAGCTTTCTATGCTGTTTGCAACTGTAAGTGAATGATTGTTTGGTTTAGCTAAGGATGGATGCGGAGTTGATTCTTTCAGCTTCAGTGGGATGTCCTCATTTACTGAGAAGAATATTCCAGATTCTTTGCTTGTGATCCCTCGGTTAAACGGCTGGTCGACTTCTTTCTTATGATTCTTTCCAATGTCACTTTTCAGAAGGTTAGCTGTATTAAGGAATTTTGAACCTTCATTTGCTTGAAGGAGAATCTCGGAGCTTCCAAGTACTCCACAATTTTCACGAATGTAACTTTCTGTGTTTGTCCCTGTTGTACTGTTTTTGTGCAACTCCAAGCTCACTTCTACTCCGGTCCTTAACAGCGAAGTCGCAGGTTTACGATTTTGATAAAGTTGCAGTACCTCAGTCCTCTTGTCAGGCATTTCCATAAAAATCTCTTTTTCTAAGCTGCCTTCAAGGTTTTTACTTTGATGCTGCTTGCTTTTAGTTCTTTTATTCTCCATTACAACTCGCTGTGTTAAAGTTGCTTGTTTTTCTTCCTGCATTAACTCACTTTTCCCTTCCGAAATCTTTCTCTCATCAATGAATTTCACTACCTCGCTTGCCGTCAAGGAAGATATTTTGCAGGCATTCAAGTTTAACTGAGAACGCAAGGAGATCCTAACTTTTTTGCTTACTTCCTCATAAAATTTCCTTTTGAGTTTAATCCGTTTTTCTAAATCTTCTTCTCTTGGTTCCTTGACTAGTTCTATTTCATCGGTTACATTTGTTGACGTGTCAGGATGAAGTCCTCTTTTTTCTCTTAGGTTGCTTTCACCTTGGTGTGGCGTTTTATTACAAACTGGCACTAGAGTTCCTTCGGACCTCTCTCCAGCAACCTGTTTTTTTTTGTAAATAAAGACCGTTTTTCGGTTTTCTTCAAACAGCTTTTCTTTCACTAAAAATTCATTTGAATTTGCATTCTTTTTCCGGACAGTTAATTCCGCATTTACTGACAGCTCTAGTGGATTGTTTTTATAATTATCAGTCTTCTCTAATTCTGTTCTTCCTTTCCGAATGCCGATAGGTTCTGTTAGCGCCGAAGCCTCTTTTTTCAAATGCTTGGGTAACAGTTGTACAACTTCCTGCTGCGGTGCAATTCCTCGTATTGTATGGTTTTGTCCAAGCTGAGAAATAGCATTTTTACCTAGCTGTTCCCTGAGAGCGCTTTCTTTTTTTTTTTCCGTATTCATGCAAGGGGGTGCCGAAGAAGCATGTATTTCTCTGCGTTTGTCATTACAAAAATCTTTTGAAAATGACGTTTGGATTCCAGAAGGGTTGCTTTCAATATTTTTCTTTGGTGAATGATATTGCTCGGAAGAAATGATTTCAGTGGACATTTGTTGCCTAAATTTTTCACTTCCGTTGAATGGTTCTTCATTTTTACTAGACAACAGTTCTGAATTTTTGTACGCTTGAATGCCTCCACTTGTTTTGAATTCATTGTTTAATACTTTTTTATTTACCTGAGCACCGAATCTTAAAGTTTTTTGTGTTCTAATTAAAACTATTTTCATCCTCACTGTTTCTGTAGCTGCAGCAGTTGAAAGCTTGCTTGTAAACCCTTTTTCAGCAAATGCTTGAGGAACTAACGATGTAAGATCGACTTCTTCCATAGCTGAGGCCTTGTGTTTTTGTGAATTACCATCGCTTAACACCGTGTTCGAAGTAATCAGTTCAGGAGAGTGTTTCATTTTCAAAGTTGACAGCTGTGCAATTTCAATTGCCTTTTCTTTTGTTGTCTCAACTTCGTTCAAGAGGCTACTATTTTTGTTTAAAACTATATTGCAGCTGATATTGTTGATTGTCCTAGGAACAGACACAGCAGATGACTGTCCTGAAACAAACACAGGCTCCATTTCTGTCTTTGAGATTAACCTATCCTCTCCAGCATCTGCAATTTTTTGATTAAGACTGAGCGCGGACTGGACGGGTCTACTTTGCAACTGGTTGGTGTTAAGATCCAGAGGGAAAACTTTGCAACGGTCGATGCACTTCTGTGCGCTGATATGCGGTTGTTCTAATTTTATGATTCCGACCATAATATTTCCGCTTCTTCTAGTCAATTCTGTGACTTCAGATACTTCTTTTGTCTCGTGTGGGAAGTCTTCTGTTATATTTTCTTCACCAACAGATTCTCTTTCCTCAGTAAATTCTTGCATGTTGCTACCCAGTGGTTTCCTTTCATGTATTTTTAATGGCAAGGGCTTTGTAAGTTTACGTGAAACGACCATCTTCCTTGCTTTTCCTCTGTGTGAATGTTCTTCTGAGATTTTCTCATCTAAATCTATGTTATTTGTTACGAAGCTTGAAACTTAGCAAATTTCTGTTTTTAATTTTTTAATAGGTTTTTCGGTGATATCGAGTAAACGTTTCCTTGACAGTTCTTCTCGAGTTCACTTTTTTGTAAAATGTTCTACCAGCAATTGAGCTTAAAGAAGAAGAAGAAGCATTCTTACGAAGAATGGGGCCTAAGCGCTACAGGGAGCAAATGGGCTCTGAGGTTTGTTGCGAATCATTAGTGGGTTAGATAGCCGACCCTTCTGCGGATTGTTCCGCGAAGGTTATAAGGAGCTACAAGAAAACTGACACGTTTGGAAAGATAGTAAAGTTTTTTCAGTTTTTTCAACCAGGAGCCTTAGAGAGGACTCTTGGATCACTATAGAGCATCTGCAGTTGTAATCAGTTGCAAGAAAGTATAACTTACGTAATAGACAAGGTGAGTGATAAAGATATTGGCATTATTTGAGTTATGTGCGAAGGAAGAACTGTAAAATATTTCTTTATTAAAATTCTAGCAAAAGATAAGAAGTAATTCTTAAATTCTATTATAGCTTTCTATGTTACATTTTATTTAGTGCATCTTAAAAGTTTTTCTTTCTATTTTTTTTTCCATCGTACTATTTCATTTTGTAAACAATATTTTTTGTTCTTGGAATTGTATGTTTATAGCAGCTGATTACAATTACAGATGTTCCCATATTATCTAGGGCTCCTGATTTGAAAAAACTGCTATTCTATAAAACCTATTAGTTTTTTTCTTATATTGTTCCTTACAATTCTTGTACAGCTGAAATAGAACAATTTGCGGAAAGCAAGAGGAAGAGAGTGAAGAGAGGTCGGCTGCTGAGCCCACTAATAACACGGAGTCAACCAAATAGGTGACTACTGGCTCTGCGTCAAAGGCAGGTCTCTTACTCCGTAAAACTGTCAAAAGAATGTTTCCAATACACAGTTGAGAATGGCACAGGAAGAATAAAAATTAATACTTGAATACTCCTCGTTAAGCAAATCTATCGCATCTACTTCCTGGTTGATGACTCGTTGGTCCTGACTGCCTGTTGCGACAGTATTTGGCTGATCTTTCAATTCGCTATTTCTTTCAGCCTGAAAAATCATCTTAACCAGTTGTTAATTCAAAAACAGTGACGCAGTTTCTTAACTTTCTTTTTTTGGGCCCATCTACTTTAGGCGGCTACCAGTTTAATAATTTTTCTTTTATTTCAATTCTTTTTTTGTATTTCGCTTTCAGTAGACTTTCATGGTAGTTTTGCAAAGACAACCCAATGTACATTTTAGAAAAGATATTTTGTTCTTTTTGGTAAGTATTTAGCAATTTGGGGGACTTCAGGGATTCTGTGACTTCAAAAACGTTTGATTGGTCCATCATAAGGTTCTAGGACGAAAAAAAATTAGAAACAGGTTATACTGCCGTACTGGCCAAAGGCCTATGCTTTTTTCTGCAAGATATATATGTATGATTTTTTTTTAAAGATAGCGTAACTTTAAAAGCTCCTCACTTGCTCAATTAAGCATCAAACGTTGAAATTTATGACCTTTTCGCCTACTTTGCGAAATTATTATGAGGAAGGTGAGTTAGAGGAATTTTGTTTGTTCTCAGTTCAAAAATCTTCAGAGCTGGTTTCAAGAATTTGGAGCCGTCGCAGTTTTATCTGAGTCGCCGTCCTCCGTTTCTTCAGCACAAATCCCCCCTTCCCGGGACGTCAGGCAAGCAACGCCGTCAGGCCGCCACCGTAAAGCAGTTCACTTCTTCTGATGGTTCTCAGGAACAGCGTTCGTTGAAAATGTTTTTACAAAGATCTGCTATTGTTTTGACTAGTTTATGAAATTGAGCTATTTTAACATCAATGCTCAGCATGAAACTTACAACCTTGTTCGTTGAGTATTTTCCTTTCTCTTCATTTTCCTGCTTTTGAAGTTCTTCGCCAAGAATTACGATTTCTTTAATTTTTGTTGTTTTGTGGACTCCGAAATCATCATCAGTTATTCGTTTCTGCAATGCAAACAGTGGGACAGTTTTTTGAGAAATAATTTTCCGTTCCAGTTCCCTAAGTTCTGATTCTATCATCAGCTTTTCTTTGGTGGTAAAATTCTTGGAAGGAAAGGACTTGTTGTTTGACTTAAGTTCAAGCTCTTTCACAACTGTTACAAAAGGGACCTTTTTTGCTATACAAGTGTAATGAACCGATTCGAATGCCATAATAGATGTGCTTTTTACTGCTTGCATTTCTTCTGCAGCTTTATTAATATAAGTTTCAAGAAGGTCTTCGTCCAGCTCTGCAGTTATTAAAGGTATTTCCTCTGAGACTCTACCCTCTATCTGGCGCTTGACCGCAGCATTTTTAAAGTCGTCCGTGGCGCTGATTTTAGGACAAGCTGCTTTATTAGTTAATTGTGCTGGAGGCTCAGGAATTTTAGAGTCAGTCGTTTGAGTTTTCCCAGCTTCGGAGTCTTCAGCAAATTTCATCTTAAAAAGTGGGACGGTGGAGACAATCTCCCAATCAGTCTTTTTCTGATTTTCATTTAAAAAAACGGCTGTATCAGATGTAGTATTTCTGTTAATAACAAGCTGGGGTTCTACTGTTATTTCGTTCAAGTTAATTACGACCTCTGGCTTATGGTTTACAGGGAACATTTTAATTACTCCTATAGCTTTGGTCGATTCCTCTTGCAGAACTTCAATGCCAACGAAAATTTCTGCTACCATTTCTTCATTTTTTACCTTTCGGTTTCTCTTCTCCTTTACCTCATTTTGAGGAATATTGTCGTTTTCATCATTCTCCGTAAGTATTGACAGGGTTGGCTTTCCTATCCTCTTTTCTAGTATTTCTTCATTTCTAATAACTACGAAATCTTCTCCTCTTTTGTTCATATCATCCTGAAAAATCCCAAGTTCCATAGGTCGTCCAGATTTCTCATTTTCCACTACAGTGACCGGGCTGCCTACCTCGAATGTTGTGTCTCCCACCTGCTTTCTTTGAAAGCGGTTAAGATCTATAGACTTGTATAGAACTTCCTCCTTGTGGTCATATTCAGCTTCACAATGATAAAAATCTTCATTTTCCTTTTTCTTCACCTGGATACATGGAATTAACTTTTTTGCACATTCTAATTTCGCTGTAACTTTCAAAACTGTAACGGTCAAGTGGCTACTTCCGCGTAATATTTTGTGACTTGAAGTTACCTCCGTTCGGCTCTCCAGCTTTATCGCATTGTCGTGTTTACTTGGTGTGTTGCTGGTTTGCAAGGGGTTACACAGCGCTAGTATTACTTTCGTGTAGGAGTATTGAGGCTTGTAATTAGCCAAAATGATAATTTGTGTGGCGCGAGCTTTCTCCTCTCTCTTTTTTTCAATTATTACAGAGTAAACCTCGTAGGCTTTAAGATACGGAGTCATATCGCTGCATAAAGCTAAATTACGTTTATTTTTTACGGAACTTCTTTCAAAATCTGTTGGAAGTCCAGTGGAAAAAATTATCTCGGTTGCCTTCATGAGTGCCTTTGTCTGTTTTCGTTTCCCCAGTATACCAATTGCTTTTGTATCCTTGCGAATACTTTTGGTTGTTTTAGCGGGGTATCGCACGCAGATATGTACAGCTTCCGCCAAGACTTTTAGTTCTTCACCTTTTTGCGTAATTCTTTGGATGGCGACGTCAACGCTAACCTTGCCTTTTTCCAAGAGGGAAGGTGAAGATATTTTCCATAAAGTTTCTCCAATATCTTTTCCTACAGAATCACAGGGAGAAGCTACTTCTACGTTATTAGGAATTTCACACGACGGTGCCAAGACTTCAAAACAACTCGATTTCTCGAGTTCGGAACTCTTCTGCGTTATTTTTTTCTTCTTGCGCAAGCTATATGTTGCCGTAATTGGGATTTTTGCCGAATCTTGCTTAACTCCTCGCATTATTTTAATATGCTGTTCTTCCTGTCTAGGTTTATGTATGCGGAGGTCAACCGCGATATTGGTCCTTTTCGTTTGTTGGCATGGAGTCTTCTTTTCTATAAGTGTCGTCTCTTTCGGCTTTTCACAAGTATGGGGTATGAAACAAACGTTTCTGCCTACAGTGTTTTTGGACAGAGGTGCAACTGTTTTTTCTACACTGTCTAAACACTTTTTGCTTTGATTAACCGCAGTTGCAGAATCTTCTGCACCATTTCTTGAGAGGTTCAGGGTATAAGATTCATCAATTGGGTCTCTTGATCTTTGACTTTTTATTATTCTTCCAATTTTCTCTCTAGTTCTCATTGGCCAATTTATTTTTTTTCCCGCTCTAATCCCAAACTGCAAGAACTCTTCTGGGAAATAATCAACAATTTCAGTTGCTCGTTCTTTCTCTCCCTTTTTATACAAGCTAATATCATCACTGATTCTTTCCTTTTTTTTTGAGAAAGCCGGGACTGTAATGAATTCGTCGTCTTTAGCACCACTAATGTTATGTAACAAAGACACCCACTCTGTTTTTCTAGGATCATTGGGGGAAATCAGATTTCCTACCTTCTCCAGGTTTTTCGACTTCCTCACGTCTCTAACCTTTTTTCGAACGAGGACTGCCACAAAATCGTTTGTAGTCTTCTGTGTAACTTCAACTATTTCTTTTTCTTGTTTTCTGTGAAATCGTGTATCAATAGTACATTCCCGTTTCTGTATTTCCTCTCCCAAAGTGCTTCCTTTAACTACTTCAGCTTGCTTATATTCTCGTGCAGCAACTTTAGGATAATCTTCATCTTTGCCGGTGGAAACATCGGGAGACAAAACGATGTCTCTTAGTTTCACGGGTTTTGGAAATTTATATGGATTTGCAGTCATAGTAAAAGCGTCTGCATCCATTTTTAATTTCTGTTTTGTTTTAATCGTGTACCATGTTTGCTCGTATTCCATCTTCTGTATCACCTGTAACGTTCCTTCTTTCTCTCCCGTTCTGTTCACAACCAGGAATGTCATTCCTCCTGCTTCCATTGTTTCTCCATTAATAATGTTGGATGAATCAAGATAATGTTCTTGCCGTTTTACAATACCAGGGAAAAAAAATGCATTTTTTAGTCCAGAAAAACTCACTGGCCCTTCTTTTTCACCTAGTTTGTTCAGTACACTTTGCGGTTTGTTTTTTATTTGCAGTGACTTCACATAATGCCTTACACTGACACATGTGAAGTCCGCAAAAGTTCTTGAAAATTCTTCATTTTTTTCCAGTTTCTGTATTTTTAACTCACAGTTAGAATCTCTTTCTGGAATGAAGGCAGGCGGGATTATTCTTCGCGAGAATTCTTCTTTCTTCTCATTATTAACTCTTTCCACAATAAACTCAAATCTTTTTTTGTCCAAGACGTTACTCGACAATGCCACTTTCTTCCTTTCGGCGAAATCGAAATGCTCGTTTCCTTCTCCAGTCTTGGCCGGAGGTTTTGGAGCTATGTCTTCTGCTTTTTCTTTCTTATCATCTGACTGTTCCAGAAAGTTATGATTATGTTCTTCGATTGTCGTAGTCTTCTGTACACTATCAGCGGTGCTGACTTTATTAAAATCTTGATCATTATTCGTTGTTTTAGGTAAAACAGTCAAATCTTTCTTTGTTTTTTGCACTATTCCACCAGTGTAGTGCGCTTGCTCAAGCGTAACTTCTTCCAGTACTCGAAAACGTTGCTCTTTTTCCTTTCTGATCACAGTGAGACAAACGTATATTTCTTCTACCCGCTTGTTTTCTGATGGAACTGAATGTGCTAGCTTTCTCCTTTCTGCTGACACAACCTTGTCTGTGACACAGTGCTTGCATGACTTGCCTGTATTCTCAAAAGATAACTCTACTTCTGTTGATTCCATAAAGTTTGTGGTTTTATCCCTCGCTTCACTCATGTCCAGAGTTTCGGTTGGTTTTTTTGTTACTTGGTTCGTCAAAGCCATGAACTGGACATTATTGTGTTGATCATTTCGTACTTCTTGCTGCTTCCGGTCGTTCTTAGTTAATCTATTCAGTGATACAAAAATCACTTCTTGAGATTTGAGTTTTAGGTCGTGTACAGTAACTTTTCCCATATTTATTTCGTGCCAGTTTTCTTCTGGTTTCTTCATGTCAAGGTCAACGGTAATTTCGGGTCTCCAACTACGAAATTTTGCTATTTCTCCTTTTCTGGCATTATTTGCAGTTTTATTAGCAGCAACTTCAATCACGTTAAATGCATTTGGCTTTTCTAATGACTCAAGAGGTTGTTTATGCGTGTTCAAGACCTTTTTATTTTCTTCTGTTTGGACTCCAAAAATTTGACGTTGAATATTTTGTAGAAATCTTTCAACGTTCTCTGAATATTCGTTCTCCCCACTTCCATTTACCGCAGCAGAATGGTCAGTAGCGTCTGTTATTTGACCAGGAAGGGTATGAATTGTCTTCGTCAGCGTTTCAGTAATTTCCTTTTCAATAATCTTTTTCGCAGTCTCATTACTGTTGTTATTCAAGGGATTACAAGAGAATTCAACATCCGCTACTTGTGCGTCTTCCAAAAGCTTGCTTAGTTTTAATGGGTCTTTAAGTGTTTTCTTTTTCTCAGTTTTGACTCGTTCTTTTCTACCCAAAAACTTCTCTTCCTCAAGTATGAGGTCTTGCAAACTTCGGTTTTCTTCATTCCCTTCCAACGTGCTGATATCGTATTTAGCATTATCTCTTTTTCTGTTAAGCGCAGAGTGAACTAATTTCTGTGTAAGTACATTCTTCTCTATTCTTGTAATTTCCGTATTGCAGTCGCTGTCTACTTTTTTGAAGTATTCGACAAAAAAAGTCACATTTTGCAGTTTTAAGGTCTCTGGCGGCTCATCATAGTCTTTCGCTTTCTTCCGAATTTCTAATTCTGTTGGTTTGAATGATTTAAAGTTTCTCTGGCTCTGCTCAACATCTTCCTCTGCTCTATTTTCTTGGTTTTTTTGTTCTGGAACGTTGCTGGCAAGATTTTTGCCCTTTTTACTGGTCCTGCCAGAATGTAGTTTTGCCGGATTCAAATCTCTATCAGCTTTTTCCAGATTTTCCTCCTGTGTCTTTATTAACTGGCTTGATTCCTTCTGCTGAAGATTTTCTGATATCGCTTCCACTTGTTGGTCTTGTTCTAGCACAACAGCGGCAGCACCAGAGTTGCTTTTTTCTAATTGATTAATGGGCTTCTCGACTGCTTCTGTCGCACTTCGTGTTTCCAAATATTTTAAAATAAAATCCAAAGCGTATTCAGTAGCCCTTTTCCTCGAGACATCGCAAAGTACGGTTATGATAGCTGGCTCATCAGATCCCGAAATCCTGTCACTTCTGCCTAGTTTATTTGGTGTTTCCTGTTCTTTGACCATTTCTAACGTTTTCATTGAGTTATACTCCTGAAGACGCACTTTTGATCCATCACCCTCTATGCTTTTCTCCTTTTTTTCTACCGCTTTCGTAACATCTTGATCTCTCCCCTCCGCTTTTCCACTACGCTGGCCAGATACTGTTTTTGCCGTAGTGCTGGCTGTTTTTTGTCCGCTTGATTCGTCTACAGTGTTAAAAGTCTTTTTATCAGTGCTTTCAAGCGGAAATGTTGTACCTGATGAATCTGAAAGGATCGGAGGTCTTTTTGGTACTTTCAACTCATTAAACGCTTTCTTGCCGTCTTCTCCGTCACTTACCACCTCGCTCCATATTCTCGATTTTGCAGTTGCACGTTTTACTTCATTAGGAGCTTCATCTAATTTTTCCTTGTCTTTGGTGGCTTCCATTCCTTTTTTTATAGGCGGGGCTTTTTTAGCTGTAAACTGTGCTCCCCGCCAATCTGCGCGTTTGAAGAAATCATCCACTTTTTCCTTCTGCAGCGGTTTATTTAGAGAGAACATAAAAACAGCTCCATGTTTCATAACTGAAGTAGATGGAAAAACATTTTCTCCTTTCTCTAGCGGTATCTCTTTAGCTTTACCCTCTACATCGTCTTTTCTTGGCTCGCGTATTAAGTGCCAGTTTCCACTTGCGTCCTTAAACTCTTCAGTTTTAAGGACTTCATGTGATTTTCCCACATTATTGAGGACCTTCTTTCTTTTGTAGGGAGATAGCATCTTCTCAGCGGTAAGCATCGCCCGCTCGCAACCCACACTTTGGACATTCCCAACCTCCTTTGCACACTCCAGTGATTTGCTTGGTATAATTACAGCAGCAGTTTTTTCCTTGGCATTGCAATTAGGCGGCGGGACCTGTGCGGTTTTTTCTATCTTCTCTTTGATTATCACATTCGATGGTTCTTTAATTGTGCCCGGTTCTTCTAACTTTTCCTTTCTGCTAAAAACTGTCGCATTTTTTTGTTCAGACGGCAGCCTCTCGACCGTGAAAAGCAATTGCTTTTTTTCCACTTCTCTTATCACTTTATCATTTCGCCCTTTTTGTATCACTTTGTTTAATGCGATTACAGCAAAAATTTCCTTTTTTGGGATAGAAATAGACAAACTGGCATTCCCTGTTTTTTTCAGCGTCTCTTCTGTGCAATTTGTTGTCCTACTTTTTTTGTTTTTTAGTGTACGCAAGTTTTCACTTTCATTTTGTTTCACTTCGGTTTCAGTAGCTTTGTTTATTTCAACAGTTCTTGCTCCTTTGTTTTTAGATGGCTGCTTTTTGACGATAAAGATTACTTGCTGTCGCAGGAAGACTTGCATGAGCTTACATCTTTCCTCTGTTCTCGTTGGTTTATTCAAGATAACTACAACAGCAGATTCCTCGTTGACAGTTGGAACAGGACTCGTAGGAATTACTGTTTTTTGTGGTTCCTCTGCAGTTCCACCTTCTACTCGGGAATCGTCTACCGTTTTTAGTGTTTGCAAATTCGCAGCCGTAAGTCCAAGCTTTTCACATGGTTCGTCTGACCTCTCTTCATTAAAAATTATACTTTTCTTGTTCATAGGTGATCTTTTAATGTTAACAGGAGCCAGTTCCTGTATTTCATTTCCTGTAAAGTCACCCTGTTCGGTTTTCGGTAGCGTTTTATTTCCCGCAGTTACATAAGTAGTATTCATCATCAAGGGAAAAGTAGGTGGGAGTCTTGTTTTTGGCTCTTTTCTTTTCTTGTATGTCGTGTCACTTCGTATCCCGTCTAGTTCGTGAGATATGGCATCTGCACTTTCAATAGTTATACGTGACTTTTCCACTTGTCCGTTGGGGAATTTAACAGTAAGCGTCGCTTCTTGATGCTCCTTTCCTTTGATTACCTCATCTCCTTCCTCCCACAGTGGCTTATTTAGAAGGACCGTCATAGTAATTTCATTTCTCGGCGAAGAAGTGGAAAAACCGATTCTTCTAGGTTCTTTCGTCATCCATTGTATTTCTGTATCCGCCACATCCTTCTCCAGTACGATTACGCACGGACCATTGGTGGCATTCAATAGAGTTTCAAATTTGAGAGCTCTATTTGATTTCACCACATCCTTAAGAACCTTAATTCTTTTTTGTGTAACCGGCAATTTCTCAGCGATCGACAGTACATTCTGCTGTTTCGCAGATATTACAACCTCGTCTCGTTCTTCGTGGACTGGTTTATCTAGAACGATTAACGTAACAGTTTCCTTTTCTAGTTTGGAAGCGACCGGATCAAACTTTCCTGTTTTTCTTACTCTCGGTTTTGTTGTGCCGTTTGCGTCATTACTTCTTGTGCCTTCTTTTATATGCAGATTTTCAGCCGCGTTTGATAAGTCTTGTTTTTTGAGAGCTTGATGTGGTCCTGGAAAACTTGCAGGTATTATCGCTTCTCTGTGTAGAAGTTCCTGTTTTTGAATGAAAGGCAGTCGCTCCTGCTCCGCACCTCTTATGACGTTACCTGTTTCCTCTTGCAGTAGTTTATTTAGAGCAATTACGGCAGTAGTTTCTTGTGGTTTGTGAACCTGAAGACTTTCATCTGTTCTGTATGACGTCTCAAAGTTAAGGACTCTCTTTTCTTTGGTTTCATTCAGCGTGTTTTTAGCAAAAAGGACTGCTTGCTGCTGCTCCGTATCTTTTAAGGCTTCATCTTTTTGCCATTCTTGCGTTGCTTCATTTAACGCATCTGCAGCAAATCTTTCTTGTTTCCGTTCAGGAACGGGCGTGAAAGCTTTTGGTCCTTTTTCTGTCTTCACTTTTGTTTTATTACCTGCTGTATTACGTTCTGCATCACTTTTAACACTTTTGTCTAATTTTCCTGTGCCTTCAAGAAATTTCATTTCAAGCGAAATCAGCACTTTTTTAGTGATAAACAGTAAATTTTGCTGCTTAAAATCTTTTACGACTTCATCTTCCTTCGGCTCTGGTTTTCTGAAACCGATTACAGCGTTGGTTTCTTCTTTGTGAGGGGAACAAGATTGGGAAGGGTTTATTCTTTTTTCTACGCTTCTTTGTTCTTCGCCGCCTACTATGCTGTTCTTTACTCTGCCGCGTTCATTTGAGCTGGCCATTGTATTCAGTAATTCTAAAGTCATAACAGTTTCACCTGATTCTTCTGACTCTTCATGGACGCTTGACTTCTTGCCCGTGCAGGACGATTTTTTTATAAGCGTCGCATTCTGTCGGTTAACATCTTTTGCAACCTCATATTTTTGCTCTTCACCGAATGGCTTGTGCAGAGAGATAACCATACCAGTTTCATCTTCTAGTGTTGGATTGATTGGAGCAGTTTCTGTTTTCTCCTGCCTTGATGATCTTTCAGCACTGACAACTTCATTCAATTTTTCTTTATTGTTAGATATCTTCATCGTCTTCCCTGCTGCTGACAATTGTTTAGCTACAGACAGTACATGTTGCTGCTGCGAATGTTTTAAAATCACGTCTCTTTGTTCTTTCTGCACTGATTTGTTTAGAACAATTGTGGAACCAATCTGCTTTTGCGAAGCAGACGTATTTTTGGCAGCCCCGCTTGTGTTCATCTTTTGTTTCACTGTGTCCTCCGCTGTGTCGTTCTCAGTATTACCTGATGTGTGTAAATCCTTTGTAACATGTTGTTCTTCTGTCTTAAGAGCTTCATTTGACTTTTCTACCTTGGTGGGATGCCTCGGTATGGTTAGCAGTTCATCAGCGTCGGGTTTTAACTGGTGCTCTTTGACGGGGTGCGGAAATTCGCTACTTTTTTCTTTTAGTAGTCCTTTTAGAGTGGATGGAGAAAAAGGTTCTTCGTTTGATGGAAGTGCTAATTCAGCATCCTTTGTTGTTTTCACTAGATTGTCCTTTGTTCTGCTTTCTATCGTCTCACTCGTTAGTTGTTCTGGTGCGTTTGGGGTGTTAGTTGCGTCTAATAATTCTTCAATATTGGTTGATCTATTTGGTTTTCCCGCTTCATGCTGAGTACTTATGGTCTCCTCTTTCGACAGCGACTTTTTTGTGGTACGCTGTAATAGCTGTACATCTGTAGCTCGTTTGACCTTTCTTACGTGTTTTGAATACTCTTCGACAGATGTCAAGGCAAGATTTCCCATCTTATCAACTATTTTTATCTTTTTAGCTGCTGAGTCTTCTTTTTCATTGATGCAGATCGCGTAGTCGCATTCCATGTGATTATGTAAGTCAAATGACGCGATCACTGTTGCTGGTTCTATAGGTTCCACAGTTTTATCCCTTTTCTTTGCGTCTAGGAGTTTTGACTGCTTTATTTTCGTGAGTTCGGGAGTTAAGTTTACCTTACCGTCCATATCTTCTTCCAAACTTTGTTTTTCCAGTTCAAGTTTATGCTTGCTTATTTGAGTTTTAGTCTTAGTTACCTCGTCTAGTTTTAAGGTACTTCCCTTCGGAACACTTTTTACCTCTTTGTCATCGACGGTTTCTGTCTCATTGAAGATCTCTGCTTTGTTTGAAATATTAGGTGCAGAATTCACACTCTGTAGTTTATTAAAGTCTGGCGGTTCTTCAGTTTCTTCTGTTTTAGCTTCTGGTTCAAGAACTTTTTTCGTTCCGTTTATTCGTTCATCTGTAAGGAAAGTTGAGTTTTGGTCAGCATTTTTTGCGTTCGGTCGTCCTTGTTTTTTTCTCTCCGAGATGTTCGTTGCAAAGTTGGTACCGGTTTTATTTTTCTCAATTATCTGGGGTGAAGCATTTAATTTCTCTTGATTTCTTTCGGTTATGATACCTGTAACGTAGTTGACTTCTTTATTGGTCGATCTTGATTCAGTTAACCCTGCGACTACGAGAGAATTTTCGTTTTCGCCTAAGTTGCTTGAAATCTGTGCTTTTTTTGGTTGTTTTGCAGGGTGCTTATCTTCTCCACCTACTTGTATATTTTTTTCTCTTTGTCCAGCAATATTTGGTTCTGGTTCAGTAATAGTGTTCTTTTTGTGAGTGAAGTGTACTTTCTTTGTTGCGTTATTTGATGTGTTCATTAACTGATCTTGCATGTGTTCGGGAGTTCTTAAGTTATGCAATACTTGTGTTGCTTTTTTTGGCTTTTCAAAGGTTTCACTGGTATTATTTTTGTTTTTTTGAATAGGAAGGGATGGGATTGATTTTGCAGATCTTTCTAAGTCTTCTTGTTCTCTAATAACTTCTTTAGCGACTTCATTTCTTCTGTTGCTTATAGACTTAGATGACGGAGTTGATTCTATTAGCTCTGCACAGTCCTTCTGCTTGCTCATGTTACCTGCTGTGTTTAATAGATGTTTGGAGGCTGCTTCAGGTCTTGTTGAATGCTGTTTACTTATGTTTGCGATGTCCCTTGTACTTACTTGACTATTTGCTTCCTGTGTGAGGATGTCGGCAGCGGTTTGTTTTTGAGGGGCAAACGGTGGGGTAGATTTTACTTCGTTTGTAGCTTCTTTTTCCTCAGCTGCATGGTGCTGATTGTTTACTCCAATTGTGATTATTTCTGATGATTCGGCGTTAGTAGAGGTAAAGATTTCATTTGGCTTATCAGATTTTGCACCTTCAATTTTTGATAGTGATGTTTCTGAGTATTTTATTTTTTTATTGCTTTCGACGCTCTCGTGTGGAACAGCTTTTGAAGCTCTCATACGGTTTTGCATTTCTTCAGTTTCATAAAGGCTTGCTTTGTTTGACTGTTCTCTTTCCTGTTGTGAGGAAGAATAAGATGTTTCACCCACCTTTCCTGACTGCTCTTGTCTTTCGTCGTGAACTTTAGCGATTACTGTGTTTCCCGGTGTCATAATTGCATTAGAAGTTTCTACTTTGGCTGGTTTCGCGAGTTCTACTTGTCCGTCCAGTTTCTGTAATTTTTTCGCAATTTGTAATTCATTCTTAGTCGTTTCTTTAATATATGTGGAGCAAAGTGTAAAATTTTTTAGGCCCTCATCCATAATTTTTTCTTTTTGTTTTTTTGCGTCTGACTGGATGCACAGTTCTCTGCTTGCTTCCTCTATTTGAATATTTCGTCTTGGTTTAACTTCTTTTACATTTTTTTCCTTCTTGGTTTCTGCTGTAAATGTTAAGGGTGAGTCTTCTTGTTTCTCAGCCGATGTTTGGTTGCATGTAACATCACTGATTAATTTTTCGTTCGTCTTAGGTGTTTTTGCATTATTTGTGGCTTCAGTCACGTTATTTTGTATTTGTTCCAGATTGGATTTGAAATTTTTAGTTTTTATTAAAACTTTTGTTTTTTTCAGTTCTAATTCTTCCTCGACAGTTTTCTGCGTGGTATGGTCATGGTCACTGCTTATTTCTTGTGCGACAGAGGAGTTTAATTTTTCTTCTGCGTTTTGGCTTTGTAGCAGGTTCTTATAGTCTGGCGTAGTGAAGTCGATGGGTTCGTTTTTGTCGCGTATTATTGGGTGGAGTAACGTTGCTTTCCCTCTATTTCCTGACATCAAAGACTCGTGTTTTTTGCAGCTCTTATATGTGGTCTTTAGAATCGTGCCGTCATTTGGAAGTTTTTTTGCGTTGCTTTGTTCCAGGTTCATTGAGATAGGTGTTGCGGAAGAGTTGTTTTCTTCAGAGATCAAATCCTGATAGTGTAGAGTTGTTCTGGAGAGCCCTTCGGCGCTGTTAATTTTATCTCGCCGGATATTTTCATTCTGCATGGGTCTGTTTTCGTCATCGGCCGATTTTGCTGTATAAAATGGTTTATCCTCTTTCCTTTTTTTTACCGTTTGTTTCTTGGTTTCTGCCTGTTCATGTCCTTCAGGATTACTTTCGGAAGGGGACTTTTGATTGTTGTTTTTTGAAATCGGAGCTTCTTTTTCTGAAGGCATTTCCATTGCGACCACAGTCCGTTTTTCGATTAAAAGTGATTCGTTTGGATAATCAGGTGCTTTGCTCTTCACCTGTACGGGTTTTGAAATTACATCAGCGCCTTTTGGTAGGGAAAATTTAGAATGTTGAGTACGTTGTGATGTCTCATTACTCCCTTCTTTCAAATTTTGCGGGTGATTTTCGAGAAGGTAGAGTTTAGCTTTTCCTTCCTTTTGTTCTGCTGAGGAGGGAGGTGTAAGTTGTTGTTTGGGAAGTGATTTTTTAGTTAGCGTTTGTTTAGTGATGCTGGAGATTGGCTTATGTTGATTTATTTCGTCGTTTTTTTCACCGTTCGATTCCAACAAGTTTTCTACAATATGTGATATGGAAACTAGTTTTTCAGTCATTCTTCGTTCTTTATTCTTTAAGTAATTCTTGTCGTGTTTTTCTTTTTTCGATATTTTATCGACTGACGATTTAGTCGTGTCATCTTTTACGGTCGCTATTAATGGCAAAATTGCTTCTGCTGCCGTTTTTTCAAGGCTATTTAAATTGCCTGGAAAATTCTTAGGAGGAAGCATTGTTTGTTGCGATTGGGTCAGATAACTTGTTTGCTGGTGTTCTGGGCGTTTTTCCGTGAAAGAAGGTCCAGGTATTGGTGGTTTTGTGATTTGTTCTGCTTGAGTACACGTTGGCTTTAACTGCTGCTCTTTTTGCGGCATTGCGGTATGGTTTGTTTTTTCTGTCTGGATCTTGTTCCAGCTTGATGTCATACGTTTTTCTGCTAATGGAGTTTCATTTTCTTTGTCCGCTGGTCCATTTAGGTTTCCGACTGTGTCACAAAGTTCGGCTGCATTTGGTTGACTTAAACTAAGCTTCAGATTTAGTTGTTGTTCCGCTTCCTCTTGATTTTCCTGTTGGAGCGAGGAGTTGAAAAGTGTTTGGTTAGTTCCGTGATGGTTCGAAGTTTGAGGCTTGGTTCTAGCATATTTCTGCTCTAAGCTTTCTGTGGTAGGTTCCCCGTCTGTTGAAGTGGTGCGATTTTGGCGAATTTGTTTTCGCCTTACCAACAGTATTTCGCTGGTGTGTGTGGGACGGTCAATGTCTGTTTGTTCGGGGGATGTGACATTGAAAGGAAGCATATGGATCGGAGGTGATGGAGGTCCATTACTGACTAACTCTAGCTCTTTTGGCTTTTCATTAGGTTGCTGTTCAGCGGTGCTCACTGAACTTAACTGATTCTTGTAGTTTTTCTGTTCGCATTTATCCATTACAAGGTTTTTCGGAATCTGTGAAATAAATTTACTTATTTTTTTCGTAGCGGGTTTTTTTTTTTAAATAGCATTTATCTTCTCTACGGCATATTTTTCTTATTTTTTCTAATTGTTTGAGTTGTTTCAATTAATTTGTACTCCTTGTTGCGTTGTGTCTTTTTGGTAACTTTCGATCTCGATTTTATAACAACTTATTGCAAACACTCTGCGAGCTAACAGAAAGATTTCAAGTGATGATGTTCTTTTACGGTATTAATACCTCAATTTTGCGGTTTTGTCTCTTAATGGAAATAACGTCTCACTTACCTCCAAACTTGCCGTAATCAGGTATGCCATAGGTGGTTGGTGCCTTGGGCTTACGATGACGAGCTCCGCTTCCAAGTCGTCACTTCTTTTGCAAGAAAAGCTTTCGGTGAACGTAATTTCAGATTTTATCCTGCAACAGCTGTCTAATTCTTTTTCAGTTTGGTTAGAGTTGAATTTTGTTATCGCACTATCTTTTGAAGTAATGTGCATTTTAGGGGCAGTGTGCGAAATGATTTTCATTGAGTGAGGTGTCAAAATTTTCGCTTTGATACATGCTTTTTTTTGCTTTGCTTGTGAAGTGTTCATCTCCTCGGGAAGTTTTTGAAACAGGAAGGTTTGTTGGGCGGTTTTTAAGATCATGGGATTATTTTCTTTAATTTCTCTCTCTTCAGCATCATCGCCCTGACTGTCAAAGGTATTTTTGAAGCTTGTTCTCTGTGGTTTCTGGGAAGGGAAGCTTTTCCTTATTTTTTTCTTTTCACATTTCTCAGGAGGGTTTTTTCCTGGAGCGGATATAAACCTGTCTTTTTGCTCAGAAGTAATTAGTTTTTGATCGCTTTGTGGCTCTTTTGTTTTTGTTTCTTCGGGCTTAATTTCTTTTATTTCTGAGAGTGTTTTCATAAAGTATTCTTCAACAGTATTTTTTTCTGGCGCTCTTATTGCGTTTGTAGTCTCGGTAGTAGGCAACTGAGCGCCTGTCATTTCTGGTTCTTTGGAGGGAAACATGAAAAAGATAAGTTCTGTTAGATCATTGACGGTACAAGAGTTTACGACGTCGTTTACATATTGGTTTGAGCCATCTTTTTGAACATCTGGAGAAATACCGCTTTTTACAGCAATTCGCTTGTTAGCTTTATCGTTGAAGGAGTGAGGGATGTTTTTTTGAGCGGGGGGTTGATTTATTTCTGGTGTAACATGAAGTGTTCCGTATTTAGGCTCACTTTTTTGGCTAGGTTGTTGAGCGCTTTTTGTCAGCTTCGGATGACCTTCGTTATTTTTTTTTGAAACTATATCATCGTTTTCTCCGACTGAAGCCATTGTTTGGGAGAATACTTCTTTTTGCTTTCCGCTGCTTTTCAGTTCCTTTATGTGGGGCCGTTGTACTTCTGTAATTTGTTTTTCTGCAGCTGGGGGAGATGATGGTTCGGATGAGGCTCGCCAAGAAACTTGCTTTTTGGAAGTTCTTTGAGCATCTAAATGAGATATTGTTTCTGCGACAGGAATTTGGTTTTTAGTAGAGATCTTGTTTTTGTATTTTTGATTACACGTTGTCTCCTTATCTGTCTCCTGTAAAAACTGCTCTTTCGACTGGTTGACCGATATCTCCCCAGCGTGAAATTCGTACAGTTCTAATTGATTTCTTTGGCTCATTTCAGGTAGTGTTTCTGTTTTCTCTCCAACTTGCAGTTTGGAAAATGCCGTGACTTCCTGTGTGGGCAATTTATTTTTTTGAGCGTCCAGTATGGAAAGCATTTCTTCTCTTTTTTCATTCTGGGTGCTTTTTGTTTCTGTCGATAGCTTTTTGCTATTTGTTGTTGAAAATTCCTTTTCGTCTTCCAATTTTTCTTCTACATTGTGACTTGTTGTGGAGTTGGGTTCCTTTAAAACTTTTTGTATGTCACTGCTAATAATGTTATTATTGGTTTGAAATGGCTCCGCTGTGCTGTCGAATTTTCTCTGCTTTAGCAGTGAGAATCTGTTTTTTTTGAGAGTTGTCTGGTTTTTTGTCGGTGCGTCATTTGCTTGACGCCTGGTAAAGTCTGCCGTTTGGCCTTCTTCGTTGGCAATGTTCAGTGCGCGAGTATTGTTTTTTCCTTCTCCACTTGCTGTTGATAAATGATTCGATTCCTGCACAAAATGAGAGTTAGGTGGGTCATTGGCGGACTCTTTTTTCAGGTGATCTTTACCTGCCAGCTTAATCAGATATGTTTCTCTGGGAATAGGAAATGGTATGTGGTTTCGTGAAATATAAACGTCGTTGCCTTCTGATGATTCATTATTTCCAGGTTTTCCGCTTTTATCTGCCTTTAAACCCTGACTAAGTTCACCGCTAACACTGTTTTTCATTCCTGTTGTTTCTGGAATTGCTTTTTTGTCCTGGTGTTCGTTGTTCGTTTCGCCGTTTGAAATGGTCATTGCCTCTCGGTTTATGTTTTTCGCACGTTCTTCGTATTTGTTTGTGGGTGATCCACTCTTAGCCGCTTCTACAGTTGACTTCGCTACACTATTTTTTTTGCTATAACCACCTTTCTCCCTACTTTTCTTTAGTAACTGTTTTCCGTTGTTGCTCTGGTTGTCTTCTTGAGGTACTTGTTGCACTTTGTTCAGCTCCCTGATTCTAGGAATTTCCAGGGCGTCGAGGAAGTTGATTGCGCGCATTCTGCTGGAATTTCCAAAGTGTGCCTCAGTTTGGTGTTCTCCTCTACAAGCAGTTTTGTCATTTTCTTTTAACATAAATGACTGAGGAAATCTGTTATGTTTTGCAGTTCCTTCATCCCTTTCCGATGCTTCGCCATTTTTTTCCTGACTCTGCAAATAAACTAGTGTCTGCGGGACAGCTGCAACTTGGAATGATGAAGTTATTTCAGTAAAACACGATTTTTCCTCGTCATACTTTGATTCTGTTTTCTTTTTGTAATTATCTTGTGTTGGTTTACACGCTTCCAACTGCTCTTCAGAAAATATGTCTCTCTTATCTGAATGAGTTCGGGCTGAACGTCCAGCATTAGAATATGGCTCTCCCTGCTTTCGATACTCGTTGCAGGCCAAATTGACGTCTCTTGTCTCTACCCTTGTCTTTGAGTGTTCTGCTTTGAGCAAACCACTTTCGCCAGATTTATCGAAGTTATTAGTGGCGTGATCCATGTAATTCTGTTTTAAGTTTCGGGTTACTGAATAAGTTGCTTTTCTCATTTCTTCCCCTCTGTTACAGATTTCTGTATCAGGACACTCAAGAATTATTTCCTTTTTTTGAGACTCATCCGAGTAAAAATTGGGAGCAGGTTGTAATAAATCATTTGAAGTGTAATGCGAGAAATTTTGTGACGGCACAGCTTTTTTTACACTCTTCTGTAATTTATGCTGAACCTTTTGTCCTTCTTTTGGTCCAGAAGAATTCATCAGCTCATATTCTGCTTCTACGGGCTTGTACTTTCTAATGATCTTTTGACTTTTGGGGTCTTCTTTAGTCGCAGAGGCAGTTTCAGATTTTTTTTCAATCCTTGCAGCTTTTGCAGTAGTTTTCGTCAAAGTCTTGGGTGGGACAAATGGCGAGCCCTTTTTTATGAAACTGTTAGAGGGAGTTATATGGTTTGGTATGGTTTTTATTTCAGTTTGTCTTTTTTGTCTATTATCACTGGATTTTAAATCGAAAGATAGATTTTCCTGAGTTTCGTTTGAGCTGGTTGTTATAGTGTTTTTGCTTTGCTGACTGGATTTCATATTCTTAGAAGCAATTGCTGACACGGACTGTTGCATAGAACAGAGATATTTTGTCCGTGCGCTTAATAAAGTGTCTTGGGTAGTAGCAGTACACTGCTCGTTAATATCTTTTTCTTCATAGGTTTCCTCAATTTCTTTACTTGTTTGAGAGGCCAATTCATCAGTCGAGGCGTAGCATTCTTCAGAAAAAATTGCGCGTGTTTCATTTTGCTTTTTTAGAGAACTTGGATCTCTGAAAGTTTCTAGGAATCTGTAAAGGTTTGCTTCAAAAATTTCCTTGAGTTTCAACAACAATCAAGGCAGAATTTTTTTTGGTTTGGCAGGTTAGAGACGTGAATTTGTCATGCAGAGTTAAACACGGGAAATGTTTTTCGCTTTTTGTCACTAAGCAGTTCTTCTGCATTAGCATGAATACACTTAAGCCAATTATTGATGGTTCCATTTAAGCTGTTATATTTGAGAAAATCAGATTTTTAGCGTGCAAAGCCCGGGGAAAACTAAGATCATACCGTTTACATGCATTTGGGTAGATTGTGCAGTTGTTTTCTCCTAGTGCGCCTTGTTCTCTGGAGTTGTAAACCTTAATTTTTTGTATGTCAGCGACTGGAATCTTTCTGGAGAGCACCAATTTCTCGTTGGGAGAGATTTGTATGGGAATATTTGTAATTTATAACTATGACTAGTTCCTTCCAATGTCTCTATGTGAGGGTTTTTTTCGGCTAGTATACGTATAATCAGTCAGAAATGGTTTTCAGAAGAAAAAGTAAGGGCAAACTTTTTATTTGGGTTTTTAGCTTATTTATTGGAGGTTCTGGTGGTTCAGTGGACGTTTCCCAACAGATCGTAAAATTAATGCCCATGCATTCCGCTCACTGCCTTTGAGTTGAGCTTAGCGGTAGTCAACTTTGTTGTCAAGTCGAGACGTGTGAGCTAGTTGTTCCGATCAGCGAACCGTCATGCATGTTGATGGCCATTTGAAATTGTTCAGTAGAAGGGTTTTTTATGCTCGTCGTTTTCAAATCCCAAAACACATGTAAAAAAAATCAAGGGCTGTGTTAAGTACAGTCATGCACGAGTCATTAGTATCGAAATATGTTGTCGCTATCACAGTTAGGTTCCAAAAAACGTTGGTATTTGATATCATATCTTAAGTTGCCACATTATTTTGGAGGTTATTATTTTTGCTGGGGTCAATCCTCATTTTATTTTCTGTTAACTATAGTTTTATGAAGGCCAAAAGCGCATTTGGGGTTTACTGTTTAAAATATTGTTTCATACATACCTCTCTTCTTCCTTCGTTTTTTTAATATATCCATTCTCTGCCGGTTTCAGCCACTGAGGATTTTTTTCGGGTGGAACTGACGGCCTAAAGGTAAACTTGGTTGTTAAAGTGAATGAGAAAATTTGTTAGTTTATTTTTTTTGTTTTGCATAGCTGAGCAGTATCTATACGGATAGAGGAGGGCTAGAAGAGCAACTTTTTTGAAAGGAATTGTTGATGGTGGTTTGTTTTAAATTCCAGACGATGTACACAGAAATTTTTCAGGAATCCATGTGAGGTTCTTTCCTATTATAATCGTGATATCTGGAAGTTTTAATGAAAGTGGATTTGAGAGGTTGGTGTGAACTTACTGATGGCGTTTTTTTGTTGCTCCATTTGTTTCATCGCCTAAATATTGCGAATTCTCTGACTTTTGACTTCCATCCTTAGAGAGGTCTGAAAAAATCTGTGTAATTCCCAGCCATTTAGAGTGTTATTTCAAACGTCAGCTGGATAAGAATTTTTGCGTATCCCAGTTGACTGTGTCGAGTTGTGTCTGTTGGAATGTCGGATCAATATATATCTGACTTACCATTGTGCAGTAAAAGTTTGAAATTCGATTTACCGTTACCAGTGCAGTTTTCATCAGCTTGTTTTCATCTGCTGTTGGTCTTTTATGAATAAAATAAAATGGTTCACATATACATACACAGATGAATAATGTATATACATTTATGTGTGCATGCAAGTATAGATGAAACACAGTCATGCGAGAAGGAAAGGACGGGAGAGGCATGCAATACAGTAGTGACGTTGATCCAAAAAAAAAAAAAAAATGTGCTTACCTGATCGGATTTAGGTACAAGCAGTATGGCAAAGTCTTTTTGAAAAACAGAAAAAAAAATGACTTACTGTTGTCCTTGGGTTTAGGTAGTGAAGTAGCTGAAATACCAGTGGATTAAAATTGTTTGTAACGCTTGTCATTTGTGGAACATATGAACTATTTTATTGCTACAATACAGTAAAATTTTCAATGAGAGGGAAAGAAGTATATGTATGTGATATATAAAAAGATTCATATACATGTAAGGTCGCGTATGCTGCAGAAATGGCGGAGTTTGAGGATATCATTGCGGTAATGAGTCAGTGATTGCAGGTCTGTGAGAGTTACGATTTGAACTCTGCTAGCGCATTCTGTAAAAGCTGCTGGATGCGAGGAAGGACTTTGATTAGCGCTGGAGATGTGAAATTTCGTTTCGCATGGCTGAGTTGTTGGAGAACGTCAAAAGTATTTGGCAATGAGGCTTTGGAATTTAGATCTGAATACTTTTCGAGGTTCTGTTAGGGGATTCTTCGAAGATAACGAAAGGAGACGTGAGGTGGTGGGAGTGTAGTACAGCTTCTTCCGTTTTTTTTTTTGTCTTTGTTGGACTGTGCTTTTGTATTTTTATGGAGGAGACGGGGAAAATCCCTATTGTTACTGCTGATTTAAGTTCTGGCGGCACTGTTGATTGGGGAAGATACTATCGCGTTTTTAGAATACATTGGTTTTGCAGTGACTATGAGTTAAAAAAGCTCAATTTTTTTAAGACACGTGGTAAACCACTGAAAATGTTAGGGGACTTATGGGACGAGACCGTAAGAATGACTATTTGAGAAGATTCATGAATTTGAAAGGTTGACTAGGGATCTAAAATTTTTCAATTTTTCCTTTGCCCATTCTCGAGATCACTGTCTTTTATGGATTGGGGG